CAGTCAGTCAGTCAGTCAGTCAGTCAGTCAGTCAGTCAGTCAGTCAGTCAGTCAGTCAGTCAGTCAGCAGAGACGCTGTGTCGCGTTGCTGGTAGGGAAGGAAGACGCGTATCAACAACGTGAGTGGGGTGCCTGCTTGTATAGGTAAACAAGACGACACAATGCCTTTGCATATCATTGAGGGGAACAGCTGACGGGCGATTTCAGTGACGTTAACTAACAACACGGCGGTGCCATGATGTTCTATCGCAACTAGCTTTGTGCGGAGATGTCGTTCACCAGATCATTGATCATCATCGCAGAATCCTCGTCGACGTCTTCGACACGGTGCTGGCTCGACGTTGGTCAGGACCAACGCCTCAGCGAGGGACGATCAACTCAGAATCGGTTTTTCTCTGGCCATCTTCTAGGTGTTTCACGGATCGACGACCGAGTGACCACACTGGTATTGGGAAACGAAGATCATATTTGACGTTGTTTGATTGTGCTGGACCAACCGATGTGGCGTGGACACCCATGCTGGTGGCCAAGTTCGTGAGCCGGACGTCGAATGTGTCGCTCAAAGGGCTTTACTCGTTGCTTCGCTGGTGCTTTGCTTTCCTTGGTGTTCGTGCAGCAGGTACAGATGCCGTTCGTCCGGCAGAAAGGCAAGTGGGTGAAGGAGCAGGGCGATCGAAGGGCGATGCAGAGCAAGTTCTACAGCAAAAGGTAGTTGGTCATCGCCATGCCGCCCCGCCCAGCTGATCGCGATCAGCCTCGTTTTCATGTCGAGGTTGACATGCTTCGTTTCAGGTTTCGAGAGTGGTGGCAGGAAAGCACGGCCGATTACGACAAAAGCATCAGACCGAACTTTGGAGGTAAGTCAAAAATTCATTATTATGTTCATTAATGCGTTATTCATTTATTTTCACTTGTGTATGCCTCTGGACAGAGGTAAATAGATCGATGTTCGAAATTCTATTCGTTTGACCCTATGTTGCTGTAATACAATAGAGCCGTGGTTCACTTAAACGGTCATGCAGGTTACTAGAAGTCGGTTGGGGGGATGCTGTGCTACGCCACGGCATGTAAATCCGGGAAAAGTGATAGGAGAATTTGATAGGTATATACAAGGTGATTATTATGTAATAAATAGAGAAAGCAAGAGAAGACACTACGAGGCAGAAGGATTCATGACAGCGTAAATTAGGTGCTGTGCCCCTGATATCCCGGGTGATCTTCGACTTGGCAGGTGTTGCAATCTTCCAGATCTCGCGACTGCCGTAATATATAGCCACATTAGTGCAATATCACCCCTGTTAAGGCTGAAAAATATGAACTGGGGAGGCATGGGTAATAATTAGCATTATGCAGCTCCTCGTAGATGGCCAGTGCAAATTGAAAGGACTTCTAAGCAGGCGTATCCTTGTGATCAGACCATGTTGACCTGGCATTAATGACCGTACCAAGTTACTTTCCATTTTTAACCAAGGCGATCCGTGTCTGGAGTAGACTGGTTTCATCTTGAAATTTTTTGTGAGATCATATAGTCGACCGTTTCCTGCCCATTTTCCTTGACATATAGCCACCTTTTTTATGATGACCTGATGAAAATTATTGAATGAGTCAGCTTACTGTAATAGTTTCGATACCTCCTATGCTCTGTATTCAACAGTTTCTTCCGATTTAGCGGAACGGTGGTAAAATTGTCCGTCCCCTCGCGCTGATTCGGCTCATTCTCTGCAAAATTGCGTTATCTGCTACATTGGTTCGCTGTCTGAGCCATGACGTGACAGTGATTAGTAGCAATTGTTGCAATTAATTTCAATTACGATTATTTATGTATACGCGGCACACTGTCAAATGGCAGGAAGCTCCTACAGTATTCATTTAATAAACGCGTAATTTCAGCGGATGGGCTTAACGCACTTATAAAATGTTCACATCATTGATTTCCATTCCATATCGATCTCACTAGAACGTCAGTTTTTCTACTGAGAGAGGTAAAAATTTTTTGTGCGCAACATTTAAAACTGAAAGTGCTCATAAAAGTGACGTCATTTCCGGTTGCTAATTGTCGGATAATGGGACTGGGCGAACAGAGAACGAGACAACTGGCATCATCGACGATTATTTAAACGATCGAACCATAGGCGAACGGACGTCATAAGTCACCGCGCATAAAATTTTCGTGAAAGTTGATTGCTAAGTAGCAAATGAAGTAACCTTGGATGCAAATTCGAAAAATGAAGCTTCTTGTCAGACATATGTCCTTCTGCGTATTGGCAATAAATCAATCATTTAAACTAAAATAAACCATGGATAACTTACCAGTACGAAAAACGTTAGTAACTGTACAATTTCGGTTTCGATCGTACAATATATTTGAATAGTGCCACTCACTGATCTCATCCATCAGGTTCGTCCAACCTTTCTGCACGTCATGCTTTCAGAAGGTACACGACATGAGGGAAGGACCTACTAGCTCTTTCTTCGGTGATTGACACGAATGGTTGTCTGTCTTGTTGTCATAGCGTTCTTCCCCCAGTTACTGTAGGCTAAGTTCAAAGTCAGAAGAAGAAGGATGGTCAGTAGAGATCGCTAGACGTTATTTTACCCGGTAAACCGGTTTAGCTGCAGCAATACTTCCTGTCGATCATTCTTATTTACGAGTACTGACGAACACCCGTCTTCACCAGCTATTAAACCCCCTTATTCAGCATTTGCACCGCATTTGGCCACGCCTGAGCATCACTGATCTCTGCTCCTGCTGGTATCTTCATAGATTTCGTCGTTTAATCCCTCTTTAGGTAGACTTCTAAGTGTTAATGCTTAGCCAATATGTGTTGGACGACTTTAACCATTGAAATATACAGATCTGAGGAACTTAAGTCTAGCAAATTTATTCATTCATCGGTTCATTTCGTCGATGAGTTTTCTCCTTACTCCAACGACTTATTCTTTCTTTCGTTCACTGATGTATTCTTTTATTCATCTGCCATTGCTTTTATTCGTTCATACATGCATTCGCTTGTTTATCCGTTCATATATTTATTCATCATTTCACACCTTCATTCTTTCATTCATCAATTTGTTCATTTTTTTAGACATTAATTCGTTTATTCTTTCACTCATTCGTTCACTTATTTACTCGTATATTCGTCACTTGTTCGTTCCTTCATTGATGCACTGATCGACTTATAGAAATATTTTATTCAGTCTTTGACTTATCCATGCATTCGTTCATTCGTTGATTCATTCCCTTATTCATTTCTACCGTTCCTTCCTCCCTGTACGCTTCCTTCTTACCATCATTGATTCATTCGTTCTGTTTTTCCATCAGTCATTCACAGGACACGTTTATTCGTTCATTCGCTGGTTGCTGATTGATTGATTGATTCATTTGCACGCTCATTCATTCATTAGCCATTGATTCATTAGTCACTGATGCATTCGTTTACTCGTTCATTCGTACTACTCATCCATTAACTGATTTATCGATTTATCTATTTATTCAACCGTTCACTCACTCATTCATTCGTTTCGTCCCTCCGCTTTTGATTCGTTTACCAATCTGTGTTCCAGAATGAATGACATTTGCCAATGATGAAATCGATGGCGATGAAACTAGCGTTTTTCTTCGCGAATACCTGAACATCATGGCCTACATGGCCCTGTTTGTTAAACGACTGTTGAAATCGCGAGATGCTCAGACGTTTTCGTACTCAGTGAATGAATCGCGGTAGCAGATATTAAGTTTTAGCTTTTAAAATTTGCTCTGCGCGGCAATCAATCTTATGCGAGCGTCTAGGTGCTGTATTTGAAGTAAGTTTAGGAATGAATTTGAGTCTGGTTGTTTCTCGAGGTCATTTGTCGTTTGCCGAAGCTCAGACTCTGGCACAGGATCGGGAACGTTGGAAGCTCTGTCTGACGCGTCTGCCTCCGCGACCCGAAAGGAGAAGCGGCGATGGAAGATGGAAGATGTTTCTCGAGGTTGTTGTGTTTACTCTCTGAAGTTACTGAACTTCGAAACGACATTCTTCCTCGGAGAGAACGAACTGTCGAGTCCTCGAAACGCAACTCATTATCACCCAAAGCATTCCCGAACTGAACGTCATCGCGTGTTACTGCGCGATTATCACTGTCAGCAAAAAATTTTTCCTCGGTTAGTGAAGAATTGCGATCGCAGAGACTGCTTTGGGGGACGAGGAAAAATCTTCTGTGGAGCATATCATCTAATAACATAAAAACATGAGTTAGTGTGGGTCATATTGCTTCTTGCCACCAAATTACTTCACTCCGTTTTTCCATACCTGTGATGGGTGCTCCTTGAAGTTGCTAACTCAACACCTCGCTCGCAAGCTTAATCAGGTCCCTGCTTGTTGAAGTCAGGCACTTTACGTAAAACGCTTTTTCTCTCGCCATTAAAAATTATGTTTTTAGGGCGTAGGGTTTCCATAGTTATGCTGAAATCGATTTGCATGCCTCTTTACACTGTCCACAGAGCCTCAGGTTTCGTGAAAAGAAGTCTCCCGTATTGCAAGATCTCTTTGGACAGCGTGGCATGAGCGATTGGGGTTCCTCTTGTTCTCGATGAAGGTTTTGCATAAGGTGAACTGCATTGTTTCCCCGTCCAATGTCCTTATGTGCCACCTTCGTCTGCATGCTTAGATTTTATTATTTAGATATTATTTTCTCTCTATTTTGGACACCACTCGAACAGACATCTGTAGGCCAGCTGTTCTTGCCAAATTATGTGTGAATCGTTACTGTTCGTTTCTGAGAGTAGACGATATAAAGTGAAAGCCTTCGACCGAGCTCAATTTGCAGCTGTCAATGGAAGCCTCCGTTGTGAAATATAATTTTTTCTTATTCGTGAGTGGTAAACCTCAGCTGTCACACTATCAAGTACAAAGATGTCAACATTAGAGCAAGTTTTCGGAATGTGGAATTTGTTATTCATCTCGGTTAAGGATAATAATAACTTTTTCGCTGAATGATCAGTAGAAAATATTTGGCTGATTGATTGGCTTACGAAGTCTACGTCGTCAAAATCTGTCTGATTGTCCTCGGCGAGCGGTGTCCCTAAGCCAGTTGTTCTGCCGTCTTAAAGCGAGTGCAGAATAGAATTCCTAATGGCGCGAGAGTCTCGTCGTAATGAAGGAGGAAACATTCCTAACTATTAAAAGTAAGCTGCACGGTTCAAGTCACTACTTTTACCGTAGAATGTGGTAGTGTGACATCAGATACGGTGACTTTCCAAAAATGCGTTGTTCAGCAATTTCTCTTAACAAAGATGGTCCGCCTTTGGCAGCTGCGGACTCACCCTTCCCTCCCGAAAAATGAGGGAGTCAAAACCTGATGAACACATCTTATTAATTCTTTCTTCAAGGGCATAACATGATCAGTGTACAATGTCAGACTGCTGTATTTCATGAGAAGCAAGATATCCTCAGGTTCTGAAGATACAGCTGGCACGAAACATCATTTTCTCTTCATTTTCAAATCTGTGAAGTTTCCAGGTTTTGTATCTGTTGCATCAATAAGTCGTTCCTCTTTTTTGAGAAGATAGAGAGAATGATAAAGGCATCTCGCTGTTCTTTTCTTTGTGAATAACATGGGCAGACGACGTAAGGAGATCTGTCGACACTCAATTATCACTGTCTCACTACCAGACCGTTTGATGAAGGTTCATGACAGTTCCTCATAGCTACTGCAGCAACTCAGAAGCTTGAAATCCTGAGTACATCGTTTTGGTGGATGATGGAACATATTGCGCATGATTAAAATATTGTGATTGTATTAGTTAAGCGTCATAAAGACACCCAAGCGTATACAATAGAAAGAATTACTCATTTGAAACACCTTGGTCTACTTTGTCAATCAGTCGACAGGGATTCGGCGATTCTTAACACAGGCTCAAAACGATAATGAAATACCAGCGTCGCTTGATCGAAACTTTGCCACGAACGTGCAGGTTTCAATATCGGTCATTTAGTAACGTATGTATCCCGTGAATTTATGGCACTTATTAAACATGTTGGAACATGCGTGCCCAGAACTTGCAAATAACTCAAAGATGCTCAGTAGATCGTTCGATGAGTTTCTAGTAGTGCTGTGGTTCAGATGAACATTTTCACAGACATACATAATTATAACATGCTGTCATATACTTGTTCTAGGTTATTGACATGGTTCAGTTTTACGGTTGATTGCATTAAAGCTTTGGCTGGCATGGGGGGGAGGCAAATTCATTGCCGAGACATCTTCGACATCATCATGCAAATTTTAGCGGACGAAAAACAGCCATTTACAAAGACTGCTTTTGAACCTATCACCGTCCTACATGTCGGCGGTTTAACAAATTTCTGGTTGTTTAAAATTTATTGCCTGACAGTAGGCAGTTTCAAAGCGGGACTAAACGACCTCCTCGGCCGTAGTCACCTCAGAGCCACATTTCTTGCGCTGCATCTTGCGGGTGGCAGGCACCGTTAGATGCCTCACCGTCAAACTGGCAGTCACTGCTGCCACTAAACCTCACTGAAAAGTAATTGCGGTTGCAGAAATAAAAGCAGCTGTTTGCACCAATTTTCCGTTGACAAACGCCGCGTGAGGGGCAACAAATATTGAAGTTGCTGAGATGTAGTTGCACCCGCTTTCTTTCGTCGACTGAGCGAGTTAATGTATGAACAAGCGAGGAGTTATCCTCCCTCGACGTGGCACGTCGCTACGGTAGAAGGAGAAAAAACGTACGAGGCAAATGATTTCATGAGGTATCACCTCCTACGCTATCAAAATATGTTCGCATGTTGGAGCAGGCAAGATAACTCATTGCTTCTCAAAGACCACATTTCACGGCGTACTGCACCTCCTGTCCTAGCTTCTAGTCTCTTAGGAGTTCATTTTACCAGGCGAGGGATACTTGGTATTTTAGCGCCTTCAGAGGAGTTGCTTTATTCGACATACACAGTACACTTTAACATTTACGCAATGGTATTCAAGGAACGTTAATTCATTAAGTATTGCTTGCAATGACTGCGACCGTAAAGAGGCTTTGGAGTACAAAATGATGCGACACACATCAGGCACTGCAGATACTCAAATACCATAGAGTAATGGCATGCTTTAATGCCCCCTCCCCCTAAACAATTATTAGCAACGGGCCCGGCTGGCGCAGTACTTTGCAAAATCTGGTCTTGATTACGAATTATCCTTACAGTGCTGGCATGGCACCCAGCGGTTCCGCTTCCCTCTTAATTTGTTATCGACTTCTGATGATGCTGAACATTTGCATTAAAACTAAAACTTCAGAACCTCTACAGACGCCTACAACTAAAAACCGACTCAGAATTCCCATGAGACTTTCCTGTTGCAGTGATTCTTGAAGAGATCTGTATTAATCAGTTTGAGTCATGCATTATCCCCCGTCCTTCGAACATGATTTATTATCATATGTAAATGACATACAGATTTTCAGCAGTGGCAATCATCTATTATATTAGTATTT